GGGGTGTGTGTGAGACTGATTAAAATAGCCCAATTGCTTTTACAATAAATAAACATTGAATGTGTTTAATTGAATAGTAAAGGGGTTTAACGTTAGTGGCAGGTTGTGTGTGAGAGAGAATAAATAAGACAGCCCAATATTTAAAAAAATTGTTATTCTTTTCCCCCGCATATTTAGCATATTTCCGCATATTTCGCAACTTCCCGCAATTTCACCGCATAAAATCACATAAAAACCCTGCATGTTTAATCGCATAATCAAGGATTTTTGCCCGCTTTTTTGTGGAGGGTCTAGTTAGTGACCGGGCAACTGTCAGAGATAGTTATTGTTGTGGGACACCTGGAACATATCCTTCTCGGGGTGTAGATGACCCCGAGCCATAAGCGACAACAACTGTGTTCCAGTGTCCAAGTGTCCCCCACAACCCTGACTTAAAGTTGCTTCACGTGATTACAATCAATGAAAAAGCCTTTCACTTCCATATGAAAATAGGTATCCACTTTAGTCCGCTCTTGCTTTTCAAATGCAGGAAATCGCTCAGCATATCTAACAGGAAAATCAATTTATCGCGTTATTAGTGAGCTTTGCTTTCTTGCATTCAAAATACAATAAAAAGTGACATTATTACTGAACATTTCTGGTTAATACATTTCAGGAGTGTACTTATATAACGATTTATCCAGTCTTTAAGACCCCTCAAAGCACTTTTACATACTACATGTCATTCACCCATTAACACCCATTCATACAGAGCAGTGTACCTTAGGAACTAACATTCACACACCGTTGGCCATCGGGAGCAACTCAGGGTTCAGTATCTTGCCCAAGGATACATCGACATGTAGTTTTTCCTGCTTTCAAAACTTCATAAGCAATAAAACATACCTTTTATTATTCAGGGTTTTTGCTACACGAGTCTGAGCAGTGGCGTACGCTGGCTAGCTAACATTTAAATAGTTTTATAAGTAAAGTAAAACGGGAAGTAAACACTTTGTACTTCACGGTAGGTTTTTAGTCTCAGTTAGTCAGGTTGCTTAGAGAATCTTGGGAAATGAAATCGTTAATTATTTTGTACTTGATCTTCCACACACTGCATTATCCAAAAGTGGTTATTTTTGACAATAGTGATGTGAATTTACCCTTTTACTTCGTAGAAAACACAGTATTTTCTCAATAACTAGCAACAATTTTCCCAGTCAAGCAGAGAATTGCCATTTTTTTTAAAAAGACCAGAGTGTGTAAATGACTTTTCCAGCATAGAAATATCACTAAAATGCCAAGTCTACAATCAAAAAATAAATATTATCAGTTGGAAAAACACTGTTCTGATACCGATTTTGTTTATTAATAACCACCTCTGATGTGAACACTGTAAATATGTCTGTTTCTTCCACTATTGCTGCTGCTGGAGGGTCATGTGACATTTGAAGACGATCTAAAATCCCTCACAGCAGAACCTGGGCACGTGTCCTTTAGGATTATGTTCAGTTTAATAATTTACTTTCTCTTAAACCCATTAAGAAGTTAATATATATGTGTGTGTACTTATATACAATCACCTTTGGGCACTTCAATCCACCGTTTGTTTGTTTGTTTGTTGTGTTTGTTTGTCTGCCGTTTCACGTTTATTATAGCTGTGATATCTTTCACCAAAGTATGTTACCAGTATTCTTATGTATTTATGATTCGTTTGCTGCTGAAGGCAAACAGCAGGGGTCTGACACACTGGAAAATGTAAATTGTCATGTTGTTTTACCTGTTCAGATTTGCAAATAAAAGCATATTTTTTCCACTCGATTCGGTATTTTACTTTCATTTCTTTGACAGTAATACTCACAGATGACCACTAGGGGGGGGGCAGAAAACCCACACTGGAGAGATGGGATTTAAGAAAACCTGAACAAAATACAATCTTTATTCCTTATATACAGTACATACAATGCAATACTACAAGGTTTTTCTACACATTCACTGATCTGAGTGTACCAGCCTTAAAACTCCCACCCAGGGGTCGAGAGACGGGCAAAACGGAAAGAAAAATCTAATTAAAACAACATTTCATCCGTCAAACATTGCTGCGTGGAAGATATTTACTCTAAATTAGCAAGTATTATTTGGCATTGTGGTTTTTTTCTAACAAAAAGGCGCTTTTAATTCTTCTTTTTAACGTCACAAAGTAAAGCGTGATGAGCACTTCTAAATGTTGTCAAATCTTAAATAATTAGCATTTTAATGTTCTAATACAACTTATGCTTTTCTCTGGTGTCCTTTTCACCAATCTGTTTCCATTGAGTGTGTTTCAGGGCAGCAGCAACTCGTATGACATCCTCCTCCAACAAAACATGAACGCAAAAAACCCTCCCAAATGTTAGGAGTATTATTCAAGCAACGTCTCCATAGTTACAGGTTCAACTTTCCTCATGATTCATTTAGAGAATCAAATGGGATGTGTCTGAGTAGCAGGACACCTCCCTGATGATGTATGAAATAACTACATACCTCCAGTGTCAGTGAACACACCAGCAGGATGATTTAGATGTCAAAAATGTCTACTACAGTCCAAGTGTTTTGTTAAAGTTTCAATATGAATATTCTGAATTGGAAGCTGCAGAAAGCAAGAGAAGCTAATGGATGCATTTTCCATCCTATTCAGGTATTTGTGTAGGCAATGTTGAGTTCATGTCTGACTCTTAAAGAGGACCATAGCACTATTTTTTTGAGCTGTCATTTTTTCAACACTTTAGCTACTAGTCATGTGCTCTTAAAGGAATAGTTGGAATAATGTTAGGAAATTGCAGAGGACCAGGTGAGAAGATTGAGACTATCAAAAGTAAAAATAGCCACTGATGTAGCTCCTTCAAAGCTCAATAATTAACCACGTAATGTAAAAATATCATAAGGTGTGGTGTTAGAAAAAGTTTTCTTAAGTTATATGACGATCAAGTTCAGTTACCTAGAGTCTTGTTGTCACTGTGTTAATAAGTGATCTTTAGATTGCCTTTGGACTGAGCCAGGCTAAAGGTTTCCAGTTGTTATGCTAAGCTAACAGCTAGTGGTAGCCTCACACTTAGCATGCATGAAAAAGAGTAGTCTTGATCTTCTCTGTAAGCAAGCAAATGTCTGTTTTCCAACCCCCTGATTTCAACGAAGCAGCAGAATATAATCTCACATTTGTCCGGAACGACCAGAAGCTAACGGTGGCTAATGTTACCTTCACTGTAGTTGGATATTTCAGTTCTTCCCATTATCACATAGGCTCACTTTAACTTTACTTTTTCAAACTTAAATTTCACCTGCAAGACACCAGTATGCTCCTTCAGCTTCAACAAGTGCATAACAAAAGTTAAATAACCGTATTAAATGGGACTTATAAGTTCACTTGTGCGGACAAGTTGGCCGAGTAGAGTTTTAAATGCATCATTAAATAAGAAAAACATCTGTTTACCCAATTCAGTGGGGGATAAAAAGGAAATTAAACCCACAATGTCATCACACTAGGGAAGCTTTTTTTTTTTTTTTTTTAAACAACTCAAAATGCCCTTTCCACTCTCAAACTGGCACCAGCACTTCATTTACAAACGCACACCGGCTGCTTTAATACCTCCCAATAAGTGAAATGAGGATTGTTTGTGGACCCTGACTTTTTTGGTAAATAGGAACAAATAAAAAAATCCAGCACAGGTTGCGTCCAATGCCAGAAATCTTCAATATGTATATTTACATATCCTGTACAACCTTAGAATGAAGTCCATTAACTACTGAGGAAAATAAATGTTACTTTGCCTCGAGTCCTGTGTAGTATATATGCACATTTACCAACCAATTTGACAGGGATAACAACCGAAAGGAATATAAAAAAGGTATATTTAGATATATATTAAATTCAATCTCATAGAATCATTCCTCTATTGTAACTACAACACTATTCAATTGTTTTTTTAGCCTCTGCATGGCTGACACGATCACAAATAGGGGGCATATGTTGCAGAAAAGCAAGCTTAACAGATAATCCAAATGAAGGTTTGGCGGGAGATGCTGAAATGTGACCGAAGGGACAGAAGAGTTGGGAAGCCACTTCCTGTTTCACGGTCACACACTTCTGCCTTCAAATCAATTAACAGCCAGTGGAGTTGAACTGGGAATCGACCTGAACACATCATCTCCGAAATATGTGGACACAGCTCAAAAGTTATTGAAAAAAATACCATAAAAAGATTGAAAACAAATGCGTGCAAATTCTCCTTTTTGGCCATTACCTTTCTGAGGTGGGAAAAGATTTTGCGTGCTCCAAGAAACCAGCAAAAAAAAAAAAAAAGGTATGGTGGGACATCGTGTGTTTAGAGACACACACACACACACACCTCAGTGAGTTCTGCGAGTTTCCCTCACACCAGTGTTTGTAAAAGTGTGTGTTCTCGAGGCTCACCAGCAGGGGGCGCAGACTGACAGCAGCTCGATGATGATGATGATGATGATGATGATGATGATGATGATGATGATGATGATGAAATCTCACAGGAAGGTTCAGGAATAGAAAAATAAGTGGTCTCTGCCTCCTCCGGTGGGTGGGCGAGGTATTTGGGGTTAGAGCGTGATGAGGTCCACCAGGTTGCCCTTGGGAGGAGTCATGCTGTCGGGGAAGAAGTTGACGAGCGTGTCGAAGAGCTGCGTCCTCTGAGCGTACGTCTGGTCCACGTCTGAGAAACCTGAGAGAGAGGAGAGACGTTAAAGAATATTTTTACAATAAGACTACCCTTATAAAAAGGGTTTACGAATAGTTTGTCATTCTTTTATTAATTAGGTTGTGAACACTTTATACATCATTAATAAGCTTTTATAAGACATGAGATAAACGAGGGCAACGGTGACCAGTCACTTGCCAAATAGTGAGCCCACATTTATCTGTACTGCTAAGCCTTATTAGAAATGGTAGTAACTCATTAATAAATGGTGATTTGTTTAACACTTTACAATAAGGCTCCCTTTTGGCAACTATACATGTTAGTAACTCGTAAATAAATGGTCATAAAGAGATGCCAAGAAACATCAAGATGGAAGGGGGGGAATCAACTCGGTGAACAACAGATACCAAGGAAGCTGGCTGATGAAGAAGACGAAGTAAGCTAGGTAGCCAATATAAGGCTTAGCAGTACAGATAAATGTGGGCTCACTATTTTGCAAGGTGACTAAGCTACTTAGCTTACTTCATGTTCTTCATCAGCCAGCATCCTTGGTATCTGTTGTTCACTGAGTTGATTCTCGCTAAGTAGCCAATATAAGGCTTAGTCATCGTGCCAAATAGTGAGGCTACATTTATCTGTGCTGCTAAGCCTTATATTGGCTACTTAGCGAGAATCAACTCAGTGAACAACAGATACCAAGGATGCTGGCTGATGAAGAACATGAAGTAAGCTAGGTAGCCAATATAAGGCTTAGCAGTACAGATCAATGTACTTATCCAGAAAATTCTGGATAAAACTGGTCTAGATGTCCGTTGTGGACTCCCACGTGGTGTTTTTAATGAACACTTACCCAGTGGGATGAAATCAGAGCTGGACTTGAAGAGAGCCGAGGGCAGGAGCTGGAACTGAAGCCCGAAACACATTCATGATCAACAAACAGTCTTAGCAGGGACTGTAACCCCCAAAAAACGAATATTGAAATAACACTAAAGCAGGTCTTTAATGCTGATCCAGTACCTCTTTGGTCTCGTCGGGGTCGGTGTGATCCACGGTGAGCGAGAGGTCGTTCTGCAGGTATTTCAGCGCGTTCAGGGGCTCCGATTGGGCTTTCTCCTCAAACCTGACCAATGAAAACACACCAATGGTAAACATCCAAAAACATTCATCTGATTGCATTTTGCTTATTATTTATCTAATATATCATTCCATCTACTTGTATATAGACTCTTCTTGTACTATTTCTATCTTGTTTGTATTTATTTGTATAACTTGACTTGCTTGTATTTCACCCAAATCATTTTGTTACGTTTTGGTACTCTTGGCACCGGCACATTTCTGCAGACTCGCGCTACTTTCCTCGGCTTCAGGCCTCGCTGAGGAGAGGTAGGTGAAACGAGTGATGTCATAAATGTTGTATTCAATATGTTAATAGATTGTTTAATATAGGTTCATGTTGTACTTTGTTCAAGTCATACTTGTGTGCAGTTAATATTAGGGGTCTGGCCGATTATCGGGGCCGATATTCCGCATTTGACCGATTATCGGTATCGGCCTTTTTTTTTATCAAATTGCCGATAAAACTTTGGCTCTGATGCGGCCGTTTCTCTGGCTGCAGTCACCACTCTGTACACGAGCAATGTCCCGCCCACAGCGCTATCTGATAGGCTATTACTGAAGTGTCAATCAACACTGAAGATTTTCCGGGCGGGAGCCAGCCAGAGAGGTGGAACCTCCTCAGATTACAGGCAGGTGCGAAGAACAGACACAGACAGAGGCAAGCAGCAGCGCTGAGCGGCAGAGCCATACATGTGTTTCGAAGGTAAATCAGTTGAAAGCCGAAGTTCAATAAACATCCCAATCCCCTATGCTGAAGTTGCAAAAACACCACGATCTTATGATCCAATTCTATCAGTTTCCCAGTTACACAGAGACGCGGGAAGTCAGTCAGAGTTGGGGGTGCGTGCACGTTCCGTGGAGCCTCGCAGTTTTTCAGGTTGATATGTGAAACTCATTAGCTAGCCATCATGTATCTAGCAAATGTTTAGCAACATATTAGAAGTGAGGCTACTAGACTAACGTTAGGTCTACTGTAATAGCCTCACTTTTAATAGTTTGCAAAACATTAGCTAGCACTAGAGTTTTGCAGTTGCTAGCAGCTTAGTGGGATTTTATGCTAGATAGACAGGCATTGTTTTGATATAAGAAATTAAGCATTATTGTTAGTTAAGCATGTCAGCCTGCAGCCCCACTTTTAACTCTCTGTGCTCTCTCTAACTCATTGCAGATGGCTGCACTAAAAAAAAGGAAACCAGTTGTAAGATGTTTAAAAGTTCATTGAACATAATATATGCTTAAATGCATTTCAAAGAAGTTGTGTTGGAGTTTGTGTTATTCTACATTTTGGCACCAAGATTTTCAGATTTTACTGCAAATGTATATCGGTTCCAAATATCGGTTTTCGGTCTCCTTGATTACTAATAATCGGTATCGGTATCGGCCTTGAAAAAGCAATATTGGTCGATCCCTAGTTTTAAGGCAGGCTCACTGTACTATATGATTTAACCCTTCTGTAAGGTTAAAGTGGAAATGCACATGGTCATGTTGAGGATTAATCCCTAGACCAGTGGTTCCCAACCGGTGTGCCGCGAGCACTGTCCAAGTGTGCCGCAAAAAAACGTATTTTTATGTTCCACATTTTTTTCTCACTTATATACACTTTATTTATTAGTTACATGTACAATGGAGTTCATAAGCTAATAAAACATATATTGCTCAGATTTAGAAATATTAAACAGCTTAAATTCTCATGATTTACATCAGCCGTCATTGTTTACGGTGTGCAGAGCAGCTTTTTATCCTCGCGCCAAATAATTTCAAGATGGATCGTTACGTAGTGACAATAAATAAAGAAGCACCCCAGCCCTCAACAACACAGGCAGGGATGACAGAACATGATGGAACAGCAGTGCAAAAGAAGTCTAAAATAACATTAATATCAGCCACAAGTTTAAACAGCAGAGCTCCTTAATAGCCAATCGTAGAGAAGGAAAAATTAACCCGGTTGTTCCATCCTGAAGGTCAAAACAGGGGGTAAGTTAAATTCTTTTTAATAGCAAGTAGTAAACAAATAACGAAAGTTCGTCAACCATTACCTCGCAAATACCGACAGGTGTAGTAAACCAAGTCGCCTATACGTGTTACACATTAAAATTACGTACGAAGAACCCATTATAAGTACGGAAAGAAACCGGAAGAACGACCTTGTTTTACATGGTATCGAGGAGACACCCCTGCTTATTTCCTAGACTAAGACTGAAGGACACTGACGTCTAAGTATCTGATAAAGGTGACCCAAACTTTCGTACGAATTTCCGAGGCTGTTTGGTTCCGGTCAATAGCCTGGTAGAGTTACAACCTGGGAGCACACCTCGTAGATGACGGGACCCAAGAACTCCACACGCGGTTTTACTAACCGTGAAATCCGGGTTCGGTTGTCCGAGAGCGAAAACTAAGTATTAATAATTATAAGAGCACCATGGAACCACCCGTTTTCATTAGGTGTACTAACGACAAATCGTGTTCGATTAGTCAACGTTTAATTTTATCGTGTGAACACTTTTATCTGTATGTGACTTAGGAGAAAGGTAAAAAAGAAGGATACAGACAAAATTAATAAAGCTACCCTATAAAGTTGTTTGTACCGGTAGACCCTTTTTCGATCTATATTTCGCTCGGAATAGTATCTCCAACAAATGAGAGGGCGTCCTCCGTCTTGCATGTACCTCAAACCGGAACCCGAATTCTAAAAACATCACACAAATCCGATTCGTTGTCACCGATGTAGCGTTGATTAAGAAACTATAGACAAGCCACACAGATCCCGTCACCAAGGGTTTGGAAAAAATGGTTCCGTGGGGACTTTATAAAGAGCTGGGGTTCGGTTGGGGTTGAAAAACATCTTACAATTTTTGGTGAATCCGAATTTGATTTTGGTATTAACCAAAAGTTTACAAATAAATAACTTATCTTGTAAAATATATGTTATTACATAAGTTTTAACAGTTGTGGTAAAGATACTACTTAAGTATAATATTTGTCCGGATGATTCATCCGAGAAAACAAAACCGACCTTTATAATCCGGATGGACACATTTTTGTGTTTTTATGTTAGTTAATGTCAATAATAAAATGTAAACCTAAAGTTTTCATCCGTCCGGATACTATTGAATCTAATTTTATTATTGAATTATCTTACCTCCCTACTTTGTTACGGGAGACTGGACTGACACCAGTACACTGATAGTTGGTGTAGGGTTTATACTTTGTAAAGACGTAAGCGTAGGTCTATTATGACTAACTAGTTTTAGTATTTAGTTCTGTAAATATCTTTCCGTGTGTTTAATTGTAGGTTTGTATTTGTAAGAAGTCTGGCAATGTGCACGATCACGCTGTGAACCACGGACGAAAACACTCACTCAGAGAACTACGCACCGCTTATCACCGTCGTTGCGTTGCGCCTCCAAGACGAGGTGACTGTCGGTCCAGGCCCAGAACAAAAACTGTATACGCTCACTCCTTTTGCGGTCGAGCGTGTTCATCCTCCAACCTTTGACATTTTCGTGGAACTACCGTGAGAGACTCTCCTACCTATAGCCAGTGCCGGTTTTATATAGGTCTGCATCAAGGCACGAAGTCAAAGTCCCTCGGCCAGGTATCTATCGAGACGCTCNAGGTGAAACGAGTGATGTCATAAATGTTGTATTCAATATGTTAATAGATTGTTTAATATAGGTTCATGTTGTACTTTGTTCAAGTCATACTTGTGTGCAGTTAATATTAGGGGTCTGGCCGATTATCGGGGCCGATACTCCGCATTTGACCGATTATCGGTATCGGCCTTTTTTTTTAAATCAAATTGCCGATAAAACTTTGGCTCTGATGCGGCCGTTTCTCTGGCTGCAGTCACCACTCTGTACACGAGCAATGTCCCGACCACAGCGCTATCTGATCTGAACACTGAAGATTTTCCGGGCGGGAGCCAGCCAGAGAGGCGGGACCTTCTCAGATTACAGGCAGGTGCGAAGAACGCTGACACAGACAGAGGCAAGCAGCGGCGCTGAGCGGCAGAGCCATACATGTTTCGAAGGTAAATCAGTTGAAAGCCGAAATTCAATAAACATCCCTATCCCCTATGCTGAAGTTGCAAAAACACCACGATCTTATGATCCAATTCTATCAGTTTCCCAGTTGTAACGCGGGAAGTCAGTCAGAGTTGGGAGTTTAGATATTCTAGCGGAGCATGTGGGTGTTTCCCAATCTGTTTTCTTCCACTGAAGGTATCAATGTAGAAAGCTGGTGAAGCCATTTCCTGCTGTAATTATATTCTGCACAGCACAGATAATTGATCCTGGCTGGCATGAAAGAAATCGTTTTATTTGATCACACAACACAACGCAGAGATAAATGTGACGTCAAACCAGACCGGTTACACATCTCCAAACAGTCTCTTGCACTATTTTATCTGTTTTATTTGTTCTATGTCCTATATATATATATATGTGTTGCACTGTTAGAGGAACCTGTGACCTAAGTTTTTCATTGCCATAACTACACTGTAATGTGCTAATGACAATACGGAGGCTATGGCTTAGTGCAGGGGTTCCCAAAGTGGGGGTCGCGACCCCCGAGACCCCGAGTGGGGGTCGCGAGATGATTACAAAATAAAAATGGAAAATTAAAAAAAATAAAAATTATTTAAAAATAATAATTTGTTTTATATATATATTTTTATTTTATTATTATTAATAATAAAGTTTGCATAGACATTTTCAGGGGCGGACTAGCCATTTGTATAATTTCCCCGCAACGAAGCTCTGTTTCTCAAACGACAGGGGGTTGCCAGTCTCTGGCACTGTTATTTTGGGGGTCGCGGGCTGAAATGTTTGGGAACCCCTGGCTTAGTGGATAGTGTGCTGGACTTCGAATCAACCCCACTGCAGTCAGCATGTCGTAGTGTCCCTGGGCAAGACACTTCACCCCAAATTGCGTCTAACAAATGACATGTAACAATAGAGCCTTGAAACTTGACCTGCAGTTACAACAACTAAACACTAGATGGCAACAAAGCAGGAAGAATCCCACAGCTCTAGAGTCATGTGAGGAAGTTGCTGCACCCCACCTGTATTTCCTGATCAGATATCTGCAGTGGCGCAGCAGATATTCCTTGGAGGGCCGACACAGTTTGAGGGACCAGAAGTCGTCCAGACGCATCTTAGGAGAACAAGACTTCCCGGGGTTTCCACCAAACAAGTAGTGCACCTGGATGCAGAAAATAAAAAGGAAATACACACCAATTAAAGCTAAAAACCACAACTACAATACAAGACGTAGATACATGTTATTGGGGTCTTTAGTTGAAATGGATCATGTGGGTTTTTTGGAGATAGGTACATTTTTTTATGAAAACAGCCTGATTTGTCAACCCTTTAGTTGCTTGTTTAAACATTTTATAAGAAATATTACAAGGTTTGGCAACATTTAGTATCTTTTACTAATACTGTTATGCATTCATGGCTTAATTTGCATCTTTCCTCGTGATCTTAAGGTTTGAAATCTGCTAATTTAAGACACAAATGGGGTCGTCGTTCTCTCCAAACTTGTGACTTTATTTCTTCACAGCTTTGTTACGATTAATTAGTCATACAGACACTGATATAAAAAGAACCTCCATCTTCTGACGTTGTTTTCAAGGTGCTGGGAAACATTTTAGAAGTTGATTCCACAGAGTACAGCTCCGATAGAGAAGTAAAGCCAGATGTGAGAATAACCAGCTCAAGAGGAGACGTCGACGTGATGCATCATAAATACAGATGTTGAAAGCTGAGCTGATCAGCGTGTTACTATTCAAGTGTGTGAGCCCCAGCTGTGTGTGTGTGTGTGTGTCTCAGCTGTGTGTGTGTGTCTCAGCTGTGTGTGTGTGTCTCAGCTGTGTGTGTGTGTCTCAGCTGTGTGTGTGTTTCAGCTGTGTGTGTGTGTCTCAGCTATGTGTGTGTGTGAGCTGTGTGTGTGTGTCTCAGCTGTGTGTGTGTGTGTGTGTCTCAGCTGTGTGTGTGTTACCTTGTGCATCTCATCGTAGACACGATGAGATGCACAAGGTAACACACACACAGCTGAGACACACACACACACACACAGCTGAGACACACACACACAGCTCACACACACACAGCTCACACACACACACACACAGCTGAGACACACACACACAGCTCACACACACACACACACACAGCTGAGACACACACACACACACACACACACACACAGCTGAGACACACACACACAGCTGACACACACACACACACACACACACACACACACACACACACACACC